AGTTAACTTTAGGGTTGCATTTTACATGGGTGGCCGACGTAGGTATTTATCTTAGGTCGGTTTATGGGCCGAGATAGGCTCTGGCTTTAAGGTTACATGGATTAGCGTTTAATCACTAAGCCTATAAGTATGTGTGTCACGGTGGTTTAGGGTTTTAGAATAATTAAACGTAATTTCTGTAAAAACAACAGAGACTGTGGGATACAGAGGGAGAATAGAGAGAGATAGGAGAGGAAGGATAGGTGGAAGCAAGGTAGAAGGAACGTGGGTTTGTGGAACAACAGTGGGGAATTGAACGGGCAATACAGAACTGGGAATTTAGAGTTTCAAGTTTGAAACTCAAAGGCAAGTTCTTATCTTCCTCTTTCCCTTTGGCTTGTGTTCTGTGCACCTGGACAGTCTCTAGGAGATTAATTGGCCTTAAACTGAACCATGCATGTTTCATATATGTTTTACTTGATCGTTTTATCTGTGAGATTTTATTTACCAAACAATTATAGCATGTAGGTTTTCCTTGTCTCTGTTTTGGCATAAAGCGTCCCACGGTTTTACTTTTGGTTTTGAACCTTACTGCGATGAACCAAGATCTGATTGGATATTAGATGTAATTTAAGTCCTTTAAATTCAAATTTAGAGGAGGAACAAATGAGTTGGAAGGGAACTGTTGTCGTAAATCCGTTGCAGTTGGTTTTAAAGTATATGCAGTTCAGTAGCCATTTTAATTCACATGTAATCCTGGTAATTGATTCTAGTTACTGTAATTAAATTAATAGGAAGCTACTGGGTGTTAATTTAACTTCTAAAATTAGTGTTAGAGACCAATAGTGGGTTAGGACTGGATCGGAGATAGAGAAGATGAGCTGAAACGGAGCAGAGACAGAACGGGAGGCTCTCAAGAGGGAGAGAGTCGGCTTTGGAAAGCAAGAGCCGGCTCTCCTTCAACAAGAGCCGGCTCCAAGTAAGAAAGAGCCTGCTTTTTCTTTATAGAGCAGGCTCCAACCTTTTGTGATTTTTGGAATTTTGTTTTTACAGCACTTTTTAATACTTTTGTCACTGTTTGGGCATTCTGGGTCATTAATCAGTTTCAAAATTTTAATTGGGTGTTTAAATAATAATTTTAACATGTAACTAAGGTCTACCCCTTAGTTTTAAATAGAATTAACAGTACGCTATTTGACAACTTTGCGCACAGTTAACGGCTGAAAGGGGATTTGTTGATTAATTTTAATCTGACGGTTTAGGGTGCTATAAAATGATTTTAAATTTATTTTAGATGCACGATGAAGTCTTTTAAAGTAATATATTGGACTTGTGGCATAGTGGGGGCTCTGTGCTAAAGGATACAACAAAATATAAGTATATGACTTAGTACTTTGTTGCCGGATGGAGGGAACTAGATCGCTTAGTTTAATTTAGCGATTTATTGGACTATAATATTATTATAAAACTAATTTTAAATACATGACAGGGTCATTGTTTTATTAAAATTTGAACTATGCATGTGTTGGATGTTAATTGTTAGAATAGTTTATTCTTCGATGCAATTACATGGATTACTACTGGATTTTATTTGCTAGATTGTTAAGATTCCTTCTGCAATTATTGGATGGTGGTTTTTGGTCTGTAAATTATTGAACTATTATATATGTTGTAATTTACATGGATATGGAGGATTGTATGTACCGGTATGGGACGGTGACATACTAGGGACGGTTTAGCTCAAAACGCATAAACCTAACCTAATGGATTAATGGAATGGATTGAAAGATATCGAATCCTAATTGTGACTAAGTCAGATCAGCTGTAACCAAGTTGGATGACTTCCTGAATTAACGGATGGTAGTTAAGTCATATCAACTAAATAAGTTGAGTGACTAACTAGTTGGTTTATTGTATGTCAGTTTAATAAATAGTTGAACTGTATATCCTGGATTTGGACGGACTTTATATATATGTTTATGGTACCACGAGTTGAGCTTGAGTCTCAGACTCGTTGGTTAGGGTGCGTATATGCAGTGGATGCGTAGCTGGTTATAATAGGTTGAGGTGTACCCTGTTAGGTCTAGGTACTCATGCCCACCTTTGGGTGCGTATTCGCATGTTGCCTTCTATTCAGGTTGAGACCCTTATTATAGACTAGTGAATGTCCCTTAGTGTGGATATATTTATACGTATGGACTAGATAGATATTGTGAGGTGTCTACGGTGTATCTGCGTATCGGGTCACTGTATGGATTGCAGTTAGATTAGAACTTGCTCGTGGGTCTGACCCACTTCTTTATTATTCTTTTCAGGTACAGGACGGTTCCAGCCTTAGAGCTCGATCGTGCTTGTCAAGGACAGTCTCACTTTCATCGGATTACGTAGGACTTTCCCCGATGTTTCTAGTATTATCTATTTTCAGTTTCAGTCTCAGTTGAATTTTTAGTTAGGGGTCCATCAGTGGATTCCCAAGTTGTAACTTTGAAGTTTTGGAGGATTGGAGTTTCAGTTTTCAGTTACACATGGAGGATTTTATTATTATTATTTCTTGCAGTTTTATTCTATCTTTATTGTTCTTTTTGTCATCTGTATTCGTTTTAAAATACTTTAATTGTTTGATATTCCCTCGGGTTTGGGCTTGGGCCTGATCAACCCGTGTCTCGGATCCGAGGGGTATCACAGTTATATTTTCAATATTTGCATCATTGTTACTTGTATTTATTTTGTATTAATTATGGTTGATCACAAAGTAAATTCGAAGGCCTTCATGTGTTTTTAGACAAAATGATTTATTATATATTTATTTATTTAAATTATTATTTTTGTCAAAAAAATGTTTTATTGTGATCAAGCCAGAAATAATCAAAGGTACCAAAATAAATATATTAATTAAGTAGTCGGATTGATAGCTTTATTTATCCGATAACTAATTATGCATAGAGGGGCTAAAATACGATATTGACTTAGAGGTTATTTATTATTTAATTGGAGTTCAATTAATTTCTTTTAGTGGAGTAGAAATTAATTTATGAATTGATTGAATTGGGTCCATGGACCGGACCAATTATTAATTCATTGTAGCTAATAAAATAATAAGCCTAATAGACTCTCACTCATAGCCCAACTTGATATTGGAATCATATTAGATTTGAGACATGTGAATTAGAGATTGAGAAGGATTAGTTGTTTCCTTTTCTTTACCTTTATGTTGCCTATAAATATACATGGTCTATGTATATTTTAGGGGTGATTTTTAGTAGAAGGAAAAAGGAATATATTTTTTCTCTCTAGAATATTAGGGTTTATGTTCTCATCTAATGTAAGCTCCCACAAGCCTAGTTTTCCAAGGTCATTCATGGAGGCTTATGAGTGATTCCTAAAGGCAAAACAATTACCAAGAATATGGAGATCCAAGGAGAAGGCATCTTGCTAAGTGATCTACAATAAGTGAGAACATTCACTTTAGAGGAAAGATTTAAAGGTTTATTCAGACCTTTGATGTAAGTATTCAATCTAGTTTTATTGAATGAGACATCATATTTTATTTTTGCATAAAACTTGTCTCTATGTGATGAATCAAGATCTATGAATCAAAATCCCTCAAAAAGTTTTTAAAACTAGCACGTTTCCCAACAGATTCAAGTTTCCATTTTGAATTACAAGTGATTCTAAACAAACATATATATCTATATATATATATATGTATGTATATATATATTCCAAAATTAAAATTTTTCTCTGGTTAAAAGATGCACAGTCCAAAATTAATTTAGTCGCTAAACAAAAAGATTTTGTTAGCTTCATAGGACTGTTGGCAGATTTCATAATAAAAAACTCACTCAATGTAATTTTACTTTCAACTTAGTGAGCGAAAGGTGGGTAAGTTGAGTGTTTAGTGAAAATTTAACCCGTGATGAAGTTTGAGCATCAAAAAGGATTAAATTTGTCAATTTCATTAAAAAAAGGTCAAAAGGTCAAATCACCTCAAAGTAACACTCTCACAAACTTAAGATCATGCATATATGTTTATTATATTTGTGTTAGATTATAAAATATAACGTGCTATCACGTGATGCAAAATTTAATATTTAAAGACCATTATGCCCTTATTCACATGAAAGGACAATAATGTCCCTTGTTGTTACAGTTAACAGAGGTGGTGTTTGATTACCCCATCCGGCTAATAGAGGTGGTGTTTGATTACACCACCTCTATTAGCTTACCAAAAAAAAAAATCAACTTAACAAAATAATTGATCGAATAATTGATCTTCAGAAAATAATCAAATTCACAGAAATCAACTTCCTGCAATCTCCATCTGATATCTTTGTGACTACATGATAGCAGAGATGAGGCCTTCCATTGGCTAAATCCAATGATACCAAAAAATAGCTTTGAAATCAGTGACCGGCACGTTGGTTACACCACCACTCACCTGAATCATAAATCAAAGCAGAGGGCGAACTTGGTTGAGGAGTGGAATGTCAGCTAGTGAAGTGTCCGGTCAACGGCGACTTTCACGGCGGTGATTGTCCTAAAAACCTCATCCGGTTAAGGATTTCTGAAAATACAGCAGAGCAATTCATTATAATCAAGTTTTGGATTGAATCTGAAATGAGAAGCTGAGATTTTCATGACAACCGCCGTCATCCATGGTGACTGGAATCACTGCCGTCCATGGTGTTACCGCCAGATATGGTGACTCTGGAATCGTCGTCGTCCATGGCAATCCATTTCCTCCTCCGACCTAAACCCCCATCACCACCACCATAACAACACCACCACCTACACTAGATCCATCTCCTCCTCCGACCTCAACCCCCTTTGCCACCTCTGCCATAACAACACTACCACTTCCATTAGATCTATCTCCTTCTACCTCAACCCCCTTCGCCGCCACCACCACAATAGCACTACCCCCTCCACTAGATCCATCTCCTTCTCTCACCTCAACCCCTTTCGCCACTGCCGCCATAACAACACTATCGCCTCCACTAGATCCATCTCATCCTCCCACCTCACCATCGCCACAACACCACCACACCCTCCACTAGATCCATCTCTTCCTCCCACCTCAACCCCCTTCGCTGCTGCCGCCATAACAACACCACCAACTCTACTAGATCCATCTCCTCCTCCCAACTCACCACCGCCACAATAACACCACCCCCTCCACTAGATCCATCTCCTCCTCCCACCACAACCCCTTTTGCCGCAGCTGCCACAACATCACCACCACCTCCACTAGATCCATCTCCTCGTCCCACCTTAAACCCCTTCACCGCCGCCCTTGATTTTTTGTTTTTTGTTTGGCCTTGCAAGTGTTTATGGTTGGTTATAGAGAAAAAGTGGGGTGCTGGGCAAAACTATGTCGTTTTATAACAAGGGTAAAATAGTCTTTTGCTTTTTTTGGTAAGCTACTGGGGTAAACTACAACAAAATAATAGTTCAGAGGGGTTTTTTGTAGTTCAGGCGGTTTCTTGCAATACCCCAATAGTTTAGGGGTTTTTTTTTTTGCATTTAACCCAAAAATTTATTTAAAATGTATTATGAAGTATTTTAAAAGTACTGGATATGTAGTCGAAATATCTATTAGATATGTGTTAGAAATTATAAAATATATTTTATAATTATAAATACATCTAAGAAGTATCAAATACGTATCTACGAGTATTGGACACGTATACGTTGTTCTTATAGGTACATTTGTGCATCCTAGTCTCTTACTCTTGCTCTTTCTCCAATTGATGAGGATGTAAGTTCATGTCTCTGCCAACCGATGAACACGTGAGATCATATGATAATGCCCTCATCATAATTTTTTTCCTTACACAAATTTTGAATTCAACAGATGATGAATTGGTGAAATAAGAATGACCTATAAGATTATATGATTGTTGAAGGAAAAATTTGATATCTTTGGGTAGGTAAATATCACAAACCCATTCTTGTTTCATTGTGGACCAAACCCTTAATCTTTCATTTAAAAGTAAGAGAGGATACCACTTGAGTTAAGCCCTTTGTTGGACAAAATAATTGAATGTTCTCTCTAATATTTTTCTCTCACCCATAAAAGTAAACTTCACAACATGCAATTAAGTTCGAAATTAGTTACACTTGAAACAATGGACTCCTTATTCATGTATGCTATTTAGTTTTCTGCTAAGCTGAATCAAAGCCATCTAAATTAATACTTGGTATTAAGAGTTCAAATAACCTATTACAAACTCAATCAAAGCTTTCATCTTCCCAGACAAAGAGTCACAACATTAGAAGTACATTTTTGAAAGAAAACTAATAATTTACACTACCAAATCCCAGATGGATCATATACAGCATATGTTTACCCGGAAAACTAGCAATACACCTTAATTATCTGACATAAACCATCTTTTTGTTGTTGTCATTGCATCATATTTCTATCATGAAGCACCTGAGCTACCACCCTAACATCTCGATCTCCTTACTTTCTGAAAAAAGTACTCTATGAGCATCTAAACCGATAAATACGGAGTGAAAGTTTTCACTTACTATGGATATGCCAATGTTAAAGAACTAGAAATTAGTCACGCACCTTCTAAGATAACAGCATCAATTATCAAAAAAAATGTAGTCCTCATTGAGTCCGCTGGTTACTTGTCTCAACTTTCTCGCCTGCACGAAATTTGATATTTTAAATTATTGAAGGTCTACTTTTATCGGGACGTTTGATGAAAATTAAACCATGGATGCTCTCTGTAACTAGAAATATAAAAAACTGAATAAGAAATAGATAGATACTTTCATGCGTCAACTCACTTACAATTTTTGATCAATTGAAGTTTGATCTTCTTGAGTACTATTAGAGCATCTTTCATGTTGATCCTCTCATAGGGTGATTCGGCAGAGCATTTCAAACCCAATTCCATGATGGATGATAGACACTGCACCTTTGCAGTATAGTTTTCTTCTTCTGGCCGTAGCAAGTTGGAATCTACAATGTGAATGATTGCATCAGGTAATGACTGATTTACCCAATCCTTGAGGCTCAGATCTCCGGCAAATAAATCATCAGTGGGTTTTCTTCTTGTAAATGTTTCCATCAACACAATACCGTAGCTGTAAACATCAGACCTTGTTGATACTGATCCTTCCAATCCATACTCTACATCCAACATAATAATTAATAAAAATGAATTGATGTGTTTTGATGAAATTGAAATTTTGATAAACTAAATTGAAATTTTGATATAAGAAAAAGAATACCATAACTAAGATTTGGACAAAAATTGAAAGCTAAAACCTTCACCTGGTGCAATATACCCAAATGTGGCTAGAGTATTGGTTAGTGCAATGCTATCCCCCTGTTCTAAGAACTTTGCGATGCCAAAGTCACTTACATGTGCAACCATATCTTCATCTAGTAGGACATTGCTCGGTTTGAGGTCACAGTGAACCACACGTGTTGAGTAATCATGATGGAGATAGTCCAATGAACACGCCACATCTATCATGATGTTTAGTCTTTGCAAGATATCCAAGAAGTAGTTGTGTGAATATAACCACTTTTCAAGACTCCCATTAGGCATGTACTCGAGTATCAAGGCCTTAAAATCAAGGTTAGAACAACTGCTAATGACTTTAGTGAGATTCCGGTGACGAATGTTGCGCAGAATTTCGCATTCTGTGTCAAAACTCTTGAAAGCGGCCTCTTGTTGCACATTGAATACCTTTGCAGCCAAAATCGTCCCATCTATTAGTGTAGCTTTGTAAACTGAACCAAAACTCCCCATGCCAAGTAAATTGCTTTCACTAAACCCATCAGTTGCTCGCACAAGTTCATGGTATGAAATTCTTTCACTTGTAACTATGGGTATCAATTCGGTTCGAATTGGAATTTCATTTATCCACCATCGACTTCTTAGGCAAAAAATGAGAATTGTTGAGGCAATAAGTACTGATGCGATTGGCAACAAAATACGAATTATTAATTTTTTCTTTGATTTTTGAAGAGAACTAATATAACAAGGCTGGACCTGGAATCGAGGAGCACCACACAATGCTTCATTTGACAAAAAAGATTGACTTGTGAACTTTGCAAAAGGGCCTCCACTCGGAATTTCTCCTCTTAATCTATTGAAAGATGCATTAAAATATTTAAGATGCAAGAGTTTCTCCAACGACTTAGGAATTTGACCGGATAAGTTGTTTTGGGAAAGATCCAAGAATTCCAAACTTACCATGTTGCCAAGTGACTCAGGAATCGATCCTTGTAGTTTATTATGTGCAAAGGTAAGCCTAGCCAAGTTTTGCAAACCTCCAATGGTGCTAGGAACATTACCTATGAATTGATTCACCGATAGATCAAGTACCGTTGCTACCTTTAAATTTCCAATCTCTTGCGGTAGATATCCACTAAAAAAATTAGAGGACAAGTTAAACTCCAAAAGATCTTTGAGATTCCAAATGGTTTCAGGTATGCTGGAATTTAATCTATTGGAGTCCAAATTCAGATATCTCAAGGAAGTAGCATTCCCTAAGCATTCAGGTATGGTTCCAAACAATCTATTTTCACTCAAAGCTAACTCACCCAAGTTCAGCAAATGGCAAATCTCCTTTGGAATGGATCCATCTATTCTGTTGTCCTCAAGATGAAGTTGTTGCAACTTGCTCAACCCTTTGATTGTTGTTGGAATAACCCCGGTCAAGTAGTTGCCATCTAGATATACGGACGCTAGGTTCCTTAATTTGCCAATCTCACTAGGAATATTGCCCTTAATTCCACAACCACTTGCAGAAAAAGATTCGAGAGAATCGGAGAGATTACCGATGGAGACCGGAAGAAATACGTTTAAAGGATTTTCATCTATCAGCAATTCTATTAATTGTCTGCAATTGGTTAAGGAAGTGAGGAAGCTCAATTCTGGTGATGAGGGTTCACTAGCGAAATTGTTTCCTCCTAGGTTCAGTAATTGGAGTCGTCCTAAATTACCAAGTGAGCTGGGAATTGAACCTGTGAACCTATTACTGGAAAGGTCTACAACAATGAGCCTAGAAGCATTTGAAATAGAATCAAGGATAGTTCCACTGAAGTTATTTATTCCAAAAAAAATATATTCAAGACTGGGTAGAGTCTGGCCAAAACTTGATGGAAAATTGCCCGACAAGTGGTTGTCACTAAGTGAGATCATTTGTACTGTTGAGATGTTGAACAACGTTGTTGGGATGCGTCCTGTTAGCTTATTCGAATCCAATATTATCATTTCTAACATAGGGAGTTCGCCAATCTCTTGCGGTATCACACCTGCTAAGCCATGTAGAAGGACAATGAAATGTAACTTTAATTTGTGGGAATTATTGAGAATCAGTGAATATAGAAATAGCAAACACTAAAAGACGAAGGAAGGAAGAAAGCAATAGTATAGTAATCCATCTTCCCCAAAGGGGAGGTCTGGGTTTTTTATTTTCTTGAAATCACTATATTTATTACTCTAAACTATATGAAAATATCAACTAATTTAGCACTTTCAAATTTAATCTATTTTGAGCCTGTCATGGTCACGAACCTACATTGTATGAAACCAATTGCCATTAATTTTTTTATTGTTCACAAGCATCCTTTTGTTTGTAAGAAAATTCTTGGAATTGAAGTTGGAGGAAAAGTGAGAACCTAGAACAACTCACCAAAGCTTGTAGCAATCTTCTAATGAAAAACTGGATAATAACTTGCTTGAAAGAAACCAAGAGATATATGCTTGTTTTGTCTAAAAACAACTTTAAAGAATTTAGTAAACATAAAATTATTTTTAGATAACTAGAAAAGCAGTTATCTCTTAAAGTATACATTTTTTGTAGCTGAATTTTGAGAAAGCAAATTCGGAAAAACTAACAAGTTTCTATACATTTTCTAATTTTTAATTCTTTGAAAAAAAATAATTGAATAAAAATTACCCATAAAAGTCCATTTGGAGAGTAGTAAAAGTGGAGGATAATGACCACTTGTGCCTTCCCGACCCAAATATTGAATTCTCACTTGAAGACATAATTTATAAAGAAAATATTATTCCTCCCAATATAATTTATAAAAAAATTATTTTTATAAAAAAGGGATAGAAAAATCTCAGTGCCATGCACAAATGAAGCTATGCACCAACAAACCATTAAGCACACTCACAAGGACCTTGTAGGGACAAAAAAATAGGTCCTCTCCCACAAATGGAAAGTTTCCATACAATAAACGATCTGCCTCCCACTCTATTTCTTGTTTCTTTTATGGAAAAACTTGTCTTAGGTTGGATAAGCAGGGCTCTCCTCCTTATGTTGATATGGACCAATAACAACATAATATGTGTCAAAAAAAATAAAAAAAATAAAAAAATTAAACTTGAATCATTCAGATCTTTTTATGGGTCATCCAAAGAGAGAGGATTTTCTCTCACTCGTGTGTGAGACCTAGTAGCGGGCTTTCCCTCTCTTTCAACTCACGATTCCTTCTCTCTTCCCACCAAATCCCCATTGATGCCCACCATCTCCCCAATTTTGAAACCCTAATATTAATCCTCTCTTCCGCCAACCGACATCCACTGCTTGCCACCTCCTCCATTTCCAAACCCTAATATTTTACATCCAATCTTTAGAGATGTTTCAAGCCTCCACATTCGTTGTCTTTCATATCTGTTGCAACTCCATCTCCAGAATGACTCGAGGCCGACCAATTAATAAATACGCATAACTCTAGTGGCATAAATTTTTTTGAGATTTATCACCATTTGTTGCAATCTGAAACCAAATTGATTTCCTTAAACTCCATTAATAATTAGAGTCTTACAATTATGGTTAATTTACCATGTTTGGGCTAATTATTTAGTTTCTTCTGTAACAGATTACAATATGAATAGAAAATCTCAAACGCATGTGGTAAGAGCTGAAAAGTGCGCATTTAAACTCCTTAATCTTGAGTGTTCTAGGACCTTATTCTATCTTATTTCCCCGTTTTAGTTTAATTTCATATTTTTCTCCTTTTAAAGCACTTATCCCCAAAATAAGTCAAAACAGTTGAATTAGAGCATTGGAAGACGCAATCTAAAGTCTAGTGGAAAGAATGAGCAAAGTGGAAGCAAAGTGGTGGAAATTTCCTCTTCGATCGATCGAACCGAGCTATGATCGATCATATTATGATCGTTCCAACCCTGCTATGATGGATCGAATTATTGTCCTTATCCTTAGGAAAATTTCCTATTCGATCGATCCGACCTTTTGATCTTATCCTCATAACCACTTTTATCCTTTTCCCACAAATATCTCAACCTTTGTCCTTATCCAAATAATTACACCGCCATACTTCGATCGATCGAAGCAATAGTGTGATGGATCAAACTGCCTCAAAATACGTGCAACATAGATTTCAAGCCCAATTGAAGGTGTGCTCGTGGTGCAATCATTTGGAGGTCCTAGTGCACGAGGTTTGACCATTGGGTGTGACATTTGAGTTACCTATATAAGGAATTTGGCTATTTTTAGTAAAGAGGTTGGTTAGTTAGAGGGGGAATTAGCTAGATATTATAGAGAGAACATACACTTTTGGGAAGGTTCTTCCACTTTTCTAGGGTTTCTACCAAGAACACCAAGGGAGGAGGATGAATTCAACCAGGATAAGAGCCCTGGAGAGTTGGATGACAACAACCATGAGTGGCTAGACTATTCTCTTGGGGCTAAAGATAGCCCTAAACATGCCTCCTAAACTTTGATGCTTTGTAATTAGTGGGGATTTGTGTTATAATTATTGTTTTGACCTCATATTTATATAAATCTTGTTTTTACATGGTTTGTGTAGTTTAATAGTTCTAAATGATCTTTTAATTCTATTCATATGTTTATATATGTTAGAATGAATGATCATGTGGTTTACACTTGATTCTTTACATTTGATACATGTCTTTGTGTATTAAAATAATGGGTCTAGTGTTGGTCAAGGCATGGTGCTTCATGGATTTCTCTTGTGGTTTATTTGATGGATTATACTTATTTCTTAATAGATTGTGCTACCTCCTTAACTTAATTAGTTTAATTTTCATGTCATTAGCATAGTTGTAGTGTAATTGCTTTAATTTCCTAGATAGGTGGATAATCCATTCTTATTGTTTGATGATCCATGCTTATGAGTACAAGTAGTACATTTCTCTAAATTCTTGTGTGTGTATTAATTGTGGGCTTATGAAAGGGTTAATGGCTTAATTTGATATGTTGTGTTATTCACTAGATTGATTAGACAATGTATGCTTATTTGGACATCCATGTTTAATATTTCAATTAATGGCACACACTTCTTTTACAACATATAATCCCTTTAATCTATCAAATATTGAGTGTCTAGTAAGGCAAGGCTTAGTGGTGAACTTTATGTTCCAAGAACCTTTTCTCATTCTCTACACCTCATTTATTTAGTTATTTTACTAATGAGTGCTCAAATGTGACACATTTTAGCACCTAAGCAAGGGTATTTTAGTCCATTCATCTATCTTTATTTTCCCGTTTTAGTACTTATTTGTGTTTTTGTTTATTTCAGGTCAATAAGGTTCAAACGGGAAAAAAATGGTCTATTACAGCCTTTTTGGAGTCAAGCAAAAGATCCGAGAAGATTCCAGAAAAATCCGGAAAAAGGTCAAAAATGCTGAATTTGTGGATGGATTGAGAATTTTTTTATCGATTGAAGATTTCTTCGATCTATTGAAAATGTGCTGCCAACGAGCTGTTTTATTCCCGCGCGCCCGAACTCCACCTACCATATAGTTGCTGGATTAGATATTTTAAAGGCTTATTTTCGGACTTGTTCACTACTCCAAGGACCTTTTATAAAGGGGGAATTGAACCATTTTGTAATATATCTTTTAGTTTTCAATTTTATTTCATTGTAATAGTTAGTTTTCGCTCTTTAGAAAAGTTAGATATTAGGGTTAGAAGAAAAGAGAAGAGTGGAGGCTCCAAGAACACATCTCAAGATCTACACACACACTCTCTCTAGAATTCAACAAAGAAGAAGAGGAAGAAGATAGAGCCATGTTTGGGGATTGCTCTTGAGGATTCCAAGATCACACCCACATCCTCCATGATTGGCTAGACTTCTCCTTGGGACTTGGATGAGCCCCAAATTTGTAATCTAAACCTCTATCTCTTTTATACTTTTTGGGGAATAATATCTTGTGATTAATGTTCTAGTCTTGCGAGTTTAATGAATCTTGGGTTCTTCTTTGATTTCTATGGATTAATTCTTTTTATTGATTCTCTACATGATTATATGTTGTCTTATGTGTGATTATTTGGAAATTGATCCCTATACTAGTTTTTCTATATTAATTGCATGTCTATGTGTGGTTGATTGAGAATCTAGTGATGGCTAGACATGGTTTTTATTAGATGGGTTTGTCAATTAATTTGATGGATTATTCTTATGCTTGATGGGTTGTTCTACTATTTAATTCATGCTTGAAGGTTTTTCCCAAATTAGTTGAAAGTGTGTGGTTTGGTGAACAAGCTTGGTGGCAATTCCAATGGACCCCAAGACCTCACTTCTCATCTCTTAAATCCCTAACTTAACTTAGTTTATTTTAATTGCATTTTAATTTATTATTTTCTAGAGTAATCAAACAACCAAACCTCCTTTGTAATCAATTGATACAATAAAGTCAAAATTAAATTCCTACACGTATAATCTCTTGGGACGATCCCTTCTCACTCATACTACATAGTATAGGTGTTAAGCGGTTTATAAATTTAAAGTAAGATACCCACTTGACACTAATTTCTAAACTCAAAGTGTTGTGCATTATTTTGTGCACACGCTCAGGTCGCATTATAACTTTGGCGCCGTTGTCGGGGACTAACGGTTTTGTTGGAATTACACTAAACAATAGTGTTCATTTGATTACTTCTATTTTTATTTTATTTTTCATTGTATATTCATTTCTCATTCTTTATATTATTTGTTTAATTTGGTACTTGACTATAAGGAAGGCAATCATTGGATCATAAAGCAATCATTGGAGCTTAAAGCTAACAATGGAATTTGAAGTTGCTTAAGGACCTTTGTGAGCAATTCTTGGAACTCATGTATTTTAATTGTGCGCTTCTTTGCATATTTGTGGTAGCCCTTGTTGAGGCTAATTTCATTGTTTTATTTTAAGTCTAAGCATCGGCCCGTGTGAAGGCCAAATTTTTTTCTTGCATTTGGATTTTGAGTGTGAATGGAGGAATTGTTTGATCCAAG